ACGCCTTGTATAGTATGGATGTGTTGGACTATGGTTGACTATTCGTACTGTACGGCGGGTTGTTGACGTGTCCGGGTAGGCCCGGGGCGTGACATAATGGGATAAAAAAAAGTTGGTGAAGTTCCACGATACGTATATCCTAACAGATGCATGCATCCAATTTTTATAATTATTAAATAAAAATGGGAACTTTTAATAAATTTCAAATATGGTCCAAAAATGTATGATACAAATATCCTAAAGTATCCCATACAGGAACATTTACAAACTCACACATGTAGCTCAATTGGTTGAGTGGTGAGAAAGTTGGAACATTGACGGATCGAAATTCACTACGATCATGTGAAGGTTATAACTCCTGTGTGATGGGTTGGATGTCTGGTGCGTACGGGTACAAGGTCTACCACCATTGAACTAACTGAATCACCGTGACTTGTAACCCCACAAATGTCTTATCGAGTCAAATGTGGGGGCTCTTGGGGTTGGGGACCCAACCTTAGAGAAGCATTTACAAATCTGTACCATATGCGGTACACATAAGCTATGTAGCACAGATATGAATACGCGGAAACGTGGAAACGCGGAAAGAGGTATGGATATACGATAAAATGAAAAAAAAGCAGGATACAAATACGGGAGTATATTTATAAATACTAGAAGTTATAGGGGTGTATTTATAAATATTAGAAATTATAGAGTGTATTTGTAAATATTAAAAATTACATTTTTTTTGAGATATAAACATATATTATCCTCCAATATCTACCCATTCATGCCATTGAAACTGTCACGCCCCGGACCTACCCGGACACGTCAACAACCCGCCGTACAGTACGAATAGTCAACCGCAGTCCGACTCGTCCATACTATACAAGGCGTCTTGAATACCATTCACACATAGTACATCCATAAACAAACATAATATAAAATAATCATTTACGGCAGCAGAAACATTCAAGACAAGTGTTTTATGCCACACCTTGGCAAACATGGGCATACAAGCCCCCAAATAATTATTCCAAACAAAAACAATATCCATGAGCATTATTTAAGTTGTTTTCAAAACAGAAATGGGAGAAGCACGAACCACGTCTTCTTCCTTGGATCTTCCCGAAACAACGGGCGGTGGCAGCAACCTTCAAGTTCTACCTGAAACTGTGAGGTGGCCTCCCCCGTGAAGGGGAGGTCAGTACTTGGAAATATTTGACAAGTACAATAGCAACTATACTAAGTATAATCAACGTTTTAATTTCCAAGACCCTCAACTTAGGGTACTATAATATTGTAGGCCATAACCCTCGGTTATCCCTTTTTCTTTTAACTGTACTTACATTATATAAAGTCAAGTAGTCGGCCCGTAGGCCCATATTTATTTAGAATTCATCGTTTCCATTCCCCCCGTGACCGCAAGTCACGATAACCCCGTGGGGTCCCATCGATCCCCAATTGTATAGCATGGGCTCGGCCCAACTACATTTCTATACAATCCTCTAGCTCTATATAACATATCAAAATTTGTATGGCAAGGGCTCGGCCCAACTACGTTTCCATACCAACCATAACTTCGTGGCAAGGGCTCGGCCCAACTACGTTTCCACGGAGATCACATATACATGGCAAGGGCTCGGCCCAACTACGTTTCCATGCTAATCATATTACATGGCATGGGCTCGGCCCAACTACATTTCCATGTCATCCTAGAGTCCAACTCTAATTATTTTCATAATTAAATTCTCGAGCAATTCCTATGCCTAGAATCAATTTCCACAGGTAGCCTTTAGGCCTACCCCTATCACACCTTAGTGTTCACACAATTCGACCTTAAGGTATCTCTTGAGACTACTTAAGACATATCTATTCACAATCCTACTTCTTAGGATTTGTTTCATCATTTATTTATATTAATCCCCGACTAGTATTTTGATACTAATTGGGTAATCTTAGAACATGCCAAGTTCCTATTTTTCCAATTGACTTTTCATTTCAATTGATTTCCCAACACAAGTATAGTTTGATCTCAATATCAAAAATATCACTTTACTCCATTCATGAATTTCACACATGGCGTAAAACATATTTTATCACAATATCATCATAGTAATTCCATTAATATGCCGTTCCATTTATTTCACATAATCATACACCATTATTCTAAATTTGTATATCATGCTTCACTTACTCATATCAATATCATTTTCATTTAGGCATTATTAATCATTAATAATCCATGAAAATACCATCTAATTACTTTAGGTAATCTTATGAAATTAACTCACTAATTATAAGCAATATAGTCAGCCATCCTCACCTCGTGATGTGCTACAATAGTTGCCTTTGTTAAGCCCCTCGATCAATCCCCGTTCTTGGCCGATTGAAAGTGAGAAGTTGGATTTCTGGGCCAAAGCCGGGCGGCTTTCACGAAAGCCGGGCGGCTTTCGGGGTCTGCAACTACGACTAGCTCCTTTGAAGTGGCGGTTTCCGGCGATTTCGACTCCTATCGATTCACCCACTCTTCTAAGTTAATTACCCCCACTTTATATCAATATTCTACACTTATAAATGTGTAGAACATCATGTTTAATCCTCCATATGATTTCTTAAAAATCATACATGATAAAACTAGTTAATAGAACCATATGTGTTCTTACCTCAAGGCTTAGCTTTTTCCTCTATGGATTATCCTCCTTGTTGCTCCCTCCAACTGCAGGTATGTTGAGAGACTTTCCTGGAGTCTTTCTCCTCTTGGGTTGTTCAGATGGTGCAAGAGAGGTGGAAGGCCACTCTACTCAATCAAGCATCAAAGTAATGCATGAGTAGGGCCTTAGGAGGTGTGATTGTGCCTTTGGCCATCCCTCATCATTTCAGTCCGCCCACCCCTCATTTCATGTCCCTTCCAGCCTTCCCTTAGTCAACTAGGACACATGAGGACGTGGAGTGGCCCCCACTAATGTGGGAGGTCATCCCATTATGTCCCGGTGTGTACAATCGGCCCCGAAAGTTGTATTTTTCGGCCCGTTTTAATCATATTTTATTTTATCGGACCAAATAAAATATATCACGTGTTCCCAATAATTATGGGCCTTTAAAATAGATGTACATTCCCCAACATTAATTTAGGAGCCTCCGAAACTCATTTCGGGCTGTTATCCGCTAAATTACCAACACCGGTAATTGGGCCCCGTTTGACCGACCGGTCAACTCTATGCCTTCCTTATGGCCCAAATAAAATATCCACCTCTATGTAAGTGTCATCTAGACCAAGATGAATATAATATGTGGTTCGGGAATTATCGGGCGACCCCCCTGGTCCGAGCGTGGGCCCCACATGCAATTTACTATTCACGTAAAAGAAATAATAAAAATTTACAATTACGCAAATTCATAAATCATCCTTCAAGGTTTATTACATAATTTACTAAAAGTAAATATGCTTGGGGACGGTGTTACAGAAACATTCCACATTATTTATTAAAATAATCAGAAGTAAGTTAATATTTTATCTCATATACCCTAGTTTTGAAATTAAAAGTGTGAGTCCTCAAAGTTCTTGAATAATGGAGTTAGAAAACTATATTAAAAAAGTTCTAATACATATTTCAACCGGAACTACTAATTTTTAGGGATAACATCGCCTTGCTCGCTGCATTGCTTACTCCCTGCATTATGTTAGTGAATTAGGGATAGATCGAATGAGTAAATTAAAGATAAGTGAATTAGTTGTGTGCGAGATAAAAGCAAGGTAATTTGTTTTTTCATTATTTAAAGATTTTATTATGTAAATTTGGGTGTTTTTTATAAAAACAGTTGATATGTGTATCCGCATGATACGGGTATCCGAAATTTTGAAATAATTACAAAAAAAGTTAATTTTTTTTAAATAAATTACAGATACAGTCCGGGAACGTACGATACGAATATGCTAGGGTATCTGATACTCCCTCCGTCCCTTATAACTTTGTCAACTTTCCTTTTTTGGTTGTCCCAAAAACTTTGTCACTTTCTCTTTTAATCAATCAATTTGTGGCTCCTGTTATTTCTCTCTCCTCTGCACAAATTTCTACCACACAGTTTTTACTTTATTATTCTACGTGCCGGTCAAACATGACAAACCTTTAAGGGACGGAGGGAGTATGTTTCATGTACAACAATGCGGTACCTTAACCAATATCCGTTCTTGAGAGCACATAAGGCTGCCCGCAACCCTAGGGGTGAAAAACTAAATTAGACGTTTTCACCCCAAAAAACACTCCAATCCTATTTATTTGGAGAGGCTAAAGTGGCTATATGGCATCCAAGGTAGTGTAATTTGGCACTCTACTACTCCTTTGCCTTGCTGGAACAAAGAGACGGAAGAAAAAGGGCGGAAGGTGAGGAGATGAGAAGAGAGGGGTGTGGACTCCAAGAAAAAAGACAATCTCCTTTATATTAAAAGATTTATAACATTTTTATTTGTATTTAAATCTTTAAAAAATATATATCAAAATTCTTAAATTTTTTTATCTTTCGTATGACATCAATATCACATATAGAAAATTAGAAAAAATATATAAACTTTTAACCGTTGATTTTTAGACTCAAATATTTTCTTAAATATATTAAAATGTCGAAATTAAGATCTCATGATTAAAATATTCTTTTTACATCCTTCACTTATCTTTTCAAATATGGGTCTAAAGTAAAAAGAAAAAAAAACAAAATTCCCAATTGATTTATTTTTACATCGGAATGTTTGACCTTTTTAAATCTTAATCAATCTAAAAAAACGATTGAAAAAAACTGTTATATAATAATAAAAATAAGACCTTAATTAAATAAACTTTGACAGATGAATATATTAACGGTAATTGGGTTGCAATAAAATCTGAATTGATTGAGTGAATACGTATAATTTGATTTATTGACGAAAACGGGTAGCCTAGGTGGCTGCTACATGGGTTCGAACCGAACTCAACCCTCGGGTGAATAAAATTGGAGTCAACGGCTCCAGCCAAGTTTATTTAGAGCATTAATGAACAGCAGTACACGAAAACGAGTTGAGTCTTCAATGAACTCAAGTCACTTCCTTTTGTCTCCGCCGCCTCTCCCTCTCCCTCTCCCTACGTTTCTTCCCTGTACTGCCCGAACCCATTTCGCAATATAGACGAACACACACAAAAGCCCTCAGCTTTTCCATCCATGTAAAGAATCCAGCTCTATACAGAATGGGTCACTACCAAAGAAACCATCGTCTGGGGAAAAAAGGGGGCGGCGGCGGCGGCAGCTGCAGCGGGTTGGTTGACGGCGATGAAGATGAAGAATCTCGTAGCAAGAGAGCAAAACCCAATCTTTTGATTATCCTCTTTCTCTTCCTCTTTTCTTGCACAATTATTTTCTCTCTCTTGTGTAAGCTCTACCCCGCAATCTCTCCGCTTCATTTGTTTGTAAAATTATCTCTTTTTCTTGATGTGATGGTAATTTATGGGTGTAGATTCATTTGGATTTGACGGTGAAGGTCATCCTTCTGTTTGTTCCTCGGTCTCCAACGGTCAGTTTAGTCATTTCCTTCAATTTGTGCCAATCTTTTGATTCATTTGGAATTTTTTAGTTTCCTTCAATGGAGATGCGTGATTTCTATTTTCTCCGTAGCTTTTCTGGTATGCACTTTTCTGTTTAAATTCTAAATACTTGGTAAAAGATTTGCTTTAAATGTAGTGGGCTGTAGGCCTCACCTTCGAAGCATTTATTGAAACCACCCTTTTCATTATTTAATGGGAAATTCCCTTTGTTACGTGCACGGGTATGTCAGTTTGTTGAGTGGTGGGAATTCGGATCAAGGGGTTCGAATCCCCTCAGCGATCATGAGGAGGTTGTGGTGTCTGAAATGGTTTGGACCTCTGGCGCGCATGAGTATATGAGCCTACTGTCATGTTCGCCTGATTGAATCACCTTTATTTACATCCTACCGCGTGCCCTGTCGGGTCGGGGTGTGGGGCACCAGGGTGGGAGATTCCACCTTTTTGGATCAAGGGAAATTCCCTTTGTACACCCTTTTAATTAGTTCCACTCTAGGAGTCTAGGGTAGCCTGAGCCTAGTTGGTCAAGCACTTCAATTTGGTTCCTAGTACAACCCTCATTAGCGACTGCTTATTAGGTTTCATAGTTAATACGTAGTACCAAATAATTTTTGTATGAAAGTAATATAAAATTGTTCTTTGTTCTAAATGCCCTCATAAATATAAAACTTATCTGTTTTACTTAAGATCAAACTAATGAACTATCAAAGACATTTGTGAAAGCTGAAACGCCAGCTAGGGTTTCAAGGTGAGGTATTCTCAAGTGCACATCTTTGGGTTTGTTCTTCATAAAATAAAATAAAAAACTAATTTCATTCTTCTATAGCATTCCATCTGTAAGTACTAGAGGATTTTGAAAATAAAAAAATAAACTTTTCAATGGGTGAAGTTTGTCTAGGAATGAAGTTTCTTTTCTTGAATTTGTAGAAGGTAAGCCATTAAGCTATGGATAATGAGATTTGATTTTATCTTTTCACAGGAACTATCTCTTGTGACAGAAGCGGTTCCCGGTCTGATGTGTGTGTCATGAAAGGGGATGTAAGAACACACCCTTCTTCATCTTCAGTTGTTCTCTACAGAAACTATGATCCCAAAACTCACATATTCCCACTCGAAATGATCAAGCCTTATACTAGGAAATGGGAAACAAGTATCATGGACACCATTGATGAACTACGTCTCGTCGTGACGAGAAAGAGTGATGCCTCCCGCCATCAATGTGATGTCCAGCACAACGCCCCGACTGTCATATTCTCGACGGGAGGCTACACTGGAAATGTATACCATGAATTCAATGACGGGATTTTGCCCTTATACATCACTTCTCAACATTTCAACCGGAAGGTCGTTTTCGTCATTCTAGAATATCATAGGTGGTGGATTTCCAAGTACAATGACATTCTTCCCCATCTCTCAGACTACCGTCCAGTAGATTTTCGAGATAACCGGACCCACTGTTTCCCCGAAGCAATAGTTGGGTTAAGGATCCATGGTGACCTCACAATTGATCCTTTATTGATGAAAGCGAACAAGAGCATGAGTGATTTTAGGGAGCTTCTTGACCAAGCTTATTTGCCAAGAATCCGTGGTCTTATACAAGAAGAAATGGAAAATCACTCTCCCTCGGCAAAGGAGGAAAAAAATCTCAACGTACCAAAACTTGTTATAATAGCCAGGAACGGGTCGAGAGAAATACTTAATGAAGACTCATTGGTGAGATTGGCAGAAAAAATCGGTTTCCAAGTGGAAATTTTGAGACCTTGTAGGACTTTAGAGCTAGCCAGGATTTATAGAGTTCTTAATTCAAGTGACGTTATGGTTGGAGTCCATGGTGCTGCGATGACTCATTTCCTCTTTATGAGGCCTGCGGGGGCTTCAGTCTTTATCCAAATCATTCCATTGGGAACAGATTGGGCAGCAGAAACTTTCTATGGTGCACCAGCAAAGAAGATGGGATTGAGGTACATTGGCTACAAAATTCTACCAGATGAAAGCACTTTGTATGATGAATATGACAAGAAAGACCCTGTACTTACGGATTCAAATAGCATGAATGTGAAGGGATGGGAATTCACCAAAAAGATATACCTTGATCGCCAAAATGTCAGGTTGAACCTAAGAAGGTTTCAGAAGAGTCTTCTTCGTGCCTATTATTATACAATTGCAGTGAAGAATGGACGATCCAGAAAGGGAAAGTCAGTAACCTTTTGGGGTTTAATTTTGGCGTACGTTCATCTCAACTTTTTAAGTGTTCTTAACTTTGCTCTAAAGATTTTGTGTAGTCATCATGGATATGCTACTTTTGTGTACATCATCCATTCATAGAGTTGAAAAATCCAAAAACTCATTAAGGTGAATACCACTCTCAGGTTTTGAACCTGTTCACTGAGTATCATTTATTTTCTCGCCTCTTCTTGGTACAGGTTGATAGAAGTAGCAATAGGCTCAATAGTATATTGTACATCCAATAGTATGTTTCTATTTTGTGATAATTGCTCATTTTTGTTGTATTATCGTGTTCTTCCTTTATTTCATTATTATTGTATTTCTTTCTATTACACAATGATCATTGACATGTAGCTATTGTTTATTTTCTTTTTAAGATGCTTATTGATGTGTCCACATACATTATATACAACCCTTGATAGCTTGTAGAGTCGTAAAATGCATTCTATATGTATAGTAATCATGATACTGGTTTGTTTGTGAACGCAAGCGAGACAATACTCAAATCTTTTAAGCTTGTTCAATCTATAAATGGGTGGATTGGGTGCTAAATTTTGATTGTTAATATCATATTAACAAAGCATGTTGACAAACAAACCAGTATACGTCTTAAGCCCTCAATCTACTGTAAGCTGGCTCTCATTTGGCGGTGGATAAAGTCCCACTTTCGGAACTGGTCCAAAACCGGATGTGCAAAAACCAAACAATTTTCCCATATCTCGTAATTGAGGTTTTGGATTGGAATCAGATCTGGTTCGGATGAGCTTTTGGCATGTTTCCCATTTTAATCATTTTTTAAAGTAGACTTAACAACTGGTCCGGAAACGGCCACGCGATCCCAGTTACACATAGCACTAGTATTGGACATGCAACCAGACCGAGTCCACATCTACGTTCATCCTAGATATCACATTTGGGCTATGTGCACAAACTTGTAGTATATATGACTTGTTATATCAAACTTATTAGCTTTTCTTCTTCAATCATAAACACTTAAACATCCCACTGAAGTAGATAAACCGGGATGGGTAAACTTGTGCCATTGCGTAGTAGATGGTGTATTCTGATTTGAGAACTGACAGAGAAAACGGAATTAGACAACTACAATGTTGCTTTTGGCCAAGCTGTGCTTAAGAGAAAAGTAAATAGGGTATTAACTTTTTATTGAGCAATTAAGCTGATATAATCAAATAATATACGGAGTAGCCGCTAAGTAGAAAACCTTAGTAACAAGATTGATAAGACAAAAAATGAGGTGCCATCAAACTCAGCAGCCATTGTTGAGCCATGTTAAGATTCCTGTTAGGATTGCAAAACAACAGTGTATTGCAAGGTTAGTATTTTTTGTTTATTTTTTGCTTTTCCCGTGTTTGAGGTTTTCTGTCAATTGAATGCAATACCTATGTAACAATGTAAGTGAGTTTGGCTGCCAAAGTGCCAAGGAAGACCACAAAAAAGTAGTGGTGGGGTGGTGGTGTGGGGTGGTGTGGTGTGTGTGTGTGGGGGTGGGGGGGGGGGGGGGGGGGTTATTTCCAGCCAATTGAAGATCTCCTGGAATTCTCCGGTGGTAAGATGCCTGTTAGTGATTGCCTCCTTAGAGTTCTTCCGTTAGAAACTGCAGCAGCAGCAACTGGTGACTTAGCTGCTTCCTCCTTTTGGTTCCTGCTTCATGCATGCAATTTAGGTTACAATATACTACGTATTAAATAAAATAAAAACATCAATAAAACACAAAAAATGTGAGAGAATTTCGGTTTCAAATATAGTAAAACCTTTTATCAGATCCATTGATCAGCTTTCCTATGGTTCGAAGCGATCTTCTTATCTGAGAACCCTTTCCATTTGTTGGCGTTGGAGCTGCTGCCACTGTCACCGGTTCAGGTGTTCTGATTGCTCCTGCTTTTTCCATTTGGCGTCTCAAAACGGATTCCATAGGACTTTGAGCAGAAATGGGAAGAGGAAGAACGTGGCCTTCTAGACTCAGCCTTCGTGATCTGGGGCCTGGTTTAGTATTATTATTAACAGAAACAGAAGGCTGCGGCAATGGCGTGGCTGCTTTATCGGATGCTGCTGTGCAGTTTTCAACGCTCAACCTCCTCCTCCTGTCAGTGGTGGTTTGTGGAGGAGGAGTCCTTAACTCATACCCCAACGCCGTCTTTGGTTTTTGACTAGGAGGAGGAGTCCAGCATGCCGCTTCGTTTGGTTTCACCATTTGAGAAGAAGCTCCTCCTCTGCTGGCTAATGCCTTTTTCAAGCTCTCAACCTATACCATGCCACATTTAACATAACACTCTCCTTTAGCTTTTTCTCTTTAATATATTATTCCCTCCTCTATTAGGGTCCACTTGGAGTGCAGAAAATGCTAGACGAAGAAAAAATGGAGGAAAGAACGGGTGGAAATATGAAAGAACAGAAAATGTTGAGAAAAATAAAAATTGGTGCAAACTCGATATTTTAATTTTGGGAAAAGGGGCAAATAAGCCCTCGAACTAATCGAAAAAGTGCAAATCACCCGAGAAGGCAGTCAAATGATTTTCTGAAATATACTGCGCTGTTTAACTGCGCAGTTATCTTCAAACATTTATTTGACTGCCTTCACGATTGAATTTTTAGCTGAAATTTGGTATGAGTAAACTAGACTTAATGAAGAAGATGCTCAAAAAATTTCATCAAAAAATTCCAACGGGAACCGCCTCCAATGGCGACGGTCGAACATAGCCTCCTATAAAAGGGGTGATTTCCACTTTTTCGGTTAGTTTAAGGACTTATTTGCCCATTTTCCCTATTATATATTATATGCGTAGTAAATAACAAGCCATGTTAACAGATGTAAAAAATTTAAAACATTAGACTTTTTCATTTTCCTTTGCATGTTCCAACTTCCAAAGTTGACCCAAAGATAGGGGAACAACTTTGTGTAGCATTTTCTTTCCTTTCCTATGCCATTTTACGGGATCCAAATCTTGCGCTCTTAAGCGTCACGTTTTATGTACACGGACTAATTTTAACCAAAAGCATGGTACTTTTATATTATACTCCTATATTCTTTCAAAGTTTATGATCAAGGGTCCATTTGGAACTAGGAAAAACGGAAAAGAGAAATGGGGAGAAAAATATAGAAGTAAACTTAAAGGAAAAAAATCAGGAGATAAGAACATAGCGTCAAATACAACAAAGTCATTTTAGACGTCTGTTCAAACTCGATTTTTATTTGTTTCAATTAGATAAAGATTACGAAATCGAAATACATGTAAAAACATTTAAAAAACAAGTTGCATTGTCTTTCATTTTTCTTTGTATTTTGCAAGGTAAAACAACCAAGTATAAGCAAACTTTCCTTTACATTTCTTTACCTGGGTTCCAACATAGCTCTAGAGAAAGTTAGAAACATTTCTTTGAGAAAAACAAGTTTTTTCTCTAAAAGAGAACGGATGGAGTATAATTAATTATACACAAAGCTTAACATAAAAAAATGCATCTTCTTTATTACATACCTGTGCTTTGAGCTCTAAAACCTCACTGCTTTCTTTATTTGAACGAGCCGCACCAAGCTCAACAGTTGAGGCCCTCTGAGCAAACTTCAGTGTACTCAAAGTTTCCCCAAAATAACCCTCTTCTGGACTCACGTGAGCAAACATGAGTGTTTTAGCATTCCCACCTAAACAGCTCTGCAAAAGTAAAGTCAGCTTGCTGTTTCTGTAAGGGACGAAAGAACTTTTCTGTGCCAAGGCCGTAATAACATCTCCCAAACAAGACAGCGACTTGTTGATATGTTGTGCTTCTTTCAGCCCGTCTCCGGTAACTTCTGACTTATCAACCCGTTCGCTGCCTGCCAGATCCACTAAATTGAGACAACTCTGAAGTTTGTTTCCGGATTCATCTTCCCCATGCACATGCACACTCAGCACACTGCAGCAAGTTATTTATGGAATTTTTATAGGCATCTTAGATTTTTAAGGGCTTGTTTTGTTGGGGAGTTTTCGTGGGAAGTGTAGGGGAGATTTATTTTTATCTCTATTTGTTAGTTTTGGATTAGAAATAAAATATAGATTTAGTTAAGTTATGCAGCATTACTTTCCATCTTTTTATTTTCTTTCCACCCCTTCCCTCTTTTCTCAAACCTCCAAACAAACAAGGCCAAGTCTATTCAAATAATCCTTCTGAGTACTGTTTGGACCACGGAAATTTGCAAGAGAGCAAAAAACTGCCAAGGAAAAATGTTTTTCTTGTGTATGGTTTTAACTAAGAAACAACATCTAAACCATATTCCCAAAAAGAGTTTAGAGTTAAAAACAATAAATAGAAAATAGGTAGACAAATAAAAATAGATCAATCCTCCACACATACCCCCCTCTGTTCACTTCGCCCTTTCCAAAATAACTCTCCAAAGTCTAAGAAAATGCAAATGAAATTATAATATGATTTTTTTCTATTTAAATTTATACTGCATATATATTTAGATTACTTGGTCTTTGTATAATATACTCCATAATAAATAAGATGTGTATAAAAGTCAGAGACTAATTTGTTGTGTTTAGCCTATCTTTGATTCTCACCCACATTTTCTTTCCGTCCAACTCCCTTCTGTGTTTTCTTTCTTATTATGTTTCACTAGTACAGTAGTACTTCCATGAATCCAAACGGATCCTTCAGTTGTAACCCACAAAATTAAAATGAAATAATCACAATTAAAGGGACCTGTGTGAGCGGCTGCTTTGGTTGTTCATGGCAGTAGAGCAAACAGCACGGTTGGCCTCACCTAACCGCATCAGATTAAGAACATCCGAAGTGGACTTCACTGGGAGGAGAGTGGCATCCGGAAGGACTAATCCGCTGTCAATTACGCAAGTTCGAACCTCTAACTTAATCCCAAGTTAAGGATTCCAAAAGTTGCTGCAATGGAACTAATGTATACTATCGTATTTCTTTTGTCTATAAATGCATGCTTGTAAACTTTTCAAGAGTGAAAGGATATTTTGCTGTAGCTGACAGATCTTCAGCAAGAAGATCACGGATTTGCTCATTATATATCTCCACCATTTGCACAGAAATGTCATATTTCATTAATTCCCTCCTTTGATATGAGAGCTGGAATAGATCATTCAGTGCTAACTGGTTGATTCCAAATTCCTTTTTTGTTCCAATAGAAGGCCCAGACTGCAAAAAGAATATGGATTATCATTTTATAACAAGGGAATTGTTCGCAATAAAAGAAAGATTTTTTCCTATAATATTACCAGAACAAAATTCGTTCACATAAAAGTGACTACATGGTGACCGCAAAAAATACCACTAGTCACTACCAGGACGTAAATACAGCCATAGCCCATAGGCACTGCTGCTCTATAAAAATCCTATTTTGTCCATTGCTTTTATTTTAGTCATATATTTGTCCATTGTTTTTATTTTAGTCATATATTTTGT